TGTCTTTTTCCGTGGTTATACTACGGAGCGGTATTTGTGCTCAGATGTCCTTTGTTGTAAAGACCGTCACCACAACGTACCCTAGCCTATCCTAGTTCACTCGAAAAGAAGATTGCAAAAAGGAGTTGCATAATGAAAATAAAATTCTTTATTAAGAAATATTCATTTGATAGTAAGGTATTGATATGTGAATAATTATTTCTTGTATTTTTATCAATTTAAAAAATGAGGAATTCTATTTTTTCATTTTTTAGAACAAGGAATCACCTCCCCCATTTGACCCACTTCGTTTGGAAACATCTTGACATAATGAATTACAAATTATGTATTATATTTATGATATATTTATTATTACAGTATTACATATTTCGACATAATAAATATATATTATATGTTATTTATTAAACAATTAAAATTTTTTATCATTAATTAAAAAGTTGGATTACATTATAGTTTTGGATCAAAATTTTTCTATTCAGAAAACCCATATAATCCAAATGGTTTTTCTATTTGGAAAAATCTGAAAAGTTGTAGAGTTAATAGTATATAATAAAAGCCTAATATATAATTTATAAGTGTATACAATATTTATGCCCGAGATATGCACTCGTATATCTGAAAACCTATATAATCGCCTCTTTCTCGATTGTAAGATTTCAATTTGAGTGTTTTTCTGTTATTCAACTGGTCTAGAATATGCTTGGTATACATTCTACTATCTTACGCGACAAAATAGTTTAATCAAATGAAGAAATAACAGCTGCTCTAAAGGAGAATATCGCAATACTTCGGCAAACAACTATTAGGATGAAATCTATAAATTGTAGGACGAATGAAAATAATGTATTTTAATTAAGAAACTATAGGCCGAAAAATAAAGTTATTTTTACAATTAAAAATCATTTCCATCTCTCTCAGAACAACCTCTGATGAAACAACCTGGTATAAGCGTTTTAACAACTTACATATTTAAATAATATGGAAATTTATATATATATATATATATAATATATATAATATACATATATATACGTATTATATATTTCTTATTTCATATTATTAGATAAAAACCAAAATAGCTATGGATTATAATGACATTATCAGATTAAATTATTACATTACCGTTTTTCTGAAAAACTAAATATTATATCTTTTATTGATAACAAAAATTATTGATTATTTGAAAGTTATTTTGAATTAGAATTACATGACATGTTCGACTAATATTGTCACTTAATCTACCTAACTTTATTAAAGATTCACAAAGAAGTTTCATTCAATTAATTTGAATTCTAATATACTACCTGTGAAGGCATATAGAATAGCGTTGTTAGTACGTCTTGTCGTGCTATTAGTAAAAATATATATTTTGTATAAATATAGTGTAAACGGTATAATAAGAACTGTTTAAAACCAGTTATATTTTGCACTTGGAAATAATGCATTAAACTAATAAAAATTAATACAAATTAATAAGTAAATAAATATATTTTTATACATATATCTATGTTAATAAATACCAAATCTAATGCAGACAGCTTTTATTCACAGTAGTTAATAGACTATTATAATTAAAAATGAATTAACGTCTGTTATATTTGGCACTTAAGTATTAATATAATAAGCTAAATAATTACTTAAGTTAAAAATAAGCTAATTTAATAAATAAATCGATAGAACATTTATTCTATTAATATCAAATATTAATATTTGCACAATTATTTTATTAATCATTTAACTAACTTTGAGGCATTTTATTATTTTTCTTTTTAAATTTATTTGTCTTTAATAAAAATAAATTCTGTTTGCATTATTTGCTTTTGGAAAATAATGTTTTAAAGCTTTTGTAATATTTTCACATTTTAACGATTATAAATTGTTTAGCATATCATTTTTTACTTGATATTAAAAGCATTCCACTTTTTATACAAATGACATTATATTTATTCATTATTTTTAAAATTTTAATTTTAATTAATTAAAATATATCATTATAAAATATACACAATTTTATGAACATGCATAAAGGGGCATGTAGACAACATTTTTTTGCTCATACGTCATGTTGTACCGAATTAATTGAATAAATTGATTGGTGTATAATAAATTCATAAATTGTTTAATAAATTTGTTTATTGTTTTTATCACTTGAAAATATTGTTTGTTTTTTTTTTTGCTGTATAAAAAAAAATCGGAAATATTAAAATAAAATTTTTATAAAATTTGTTTCAAATTTTTATAACATTTTTCTTTTACCATGCTTTTCATACAATGATAAAATTATTTTTTATTATCATTTTCATTCTTTTATAAGCATTTTCCTTTTTACGTATGAAACACGTGATGAAACTGGGGATGAAAACTTTTCATTTATTTTTTATAAGAATTTAATTTATTTTTCCCCTTTATTCAATTTAATTTTTAAAATTATGTTTACTTTATTAAATTTAACTTGTTAACGCTTTTAATAATTTTAAATAGCATAAAATATTATATATATAATATTTGTTATCGTCATTTATATTTTATTATAATATATTCTCAGTTAGTATAATCATTAAATAATGACAGTATTAGTCAATTTTTAATTTAAAAATTTTATCTAATTTTATATGCTTATTTATATTCTTTAGTTTTTTAAATTATTTTTATTTTTTATATTTATATATAATACAAGTGTTCAAAAAAAATTTTTTTAATAGAAACTAATAATTACTAAATCTACAATATTATAAGAAACTTAACATACTACCCAATGCACCAATAAATCATAGCGAATCACCAAAATCAGAATGATAAACTACACTAATAGTTTATTTATATATATTTGTATGTAATATTTATTTAAAATAATATATATCAAATTAATAAAATATCTTAGGTTTCAAAAATTTTATTCATAGCTAAACTATACTATAAGATAACACATTCAGAACCTTATACAATGCAATAACTAAGTTTATCTTCCACTAAACGGCATTAATAAAGAAAACAAGAAGTAATATGTCCCACATTATAACTTCTATAAAATATTAAAATTTTGAACCCATATTTCCTGGATAAATTAAATCTTATCTTTGATGACATATATCACATTTTTAGTATTATTTAACAGTTTAAGTTTGACATGAGTTATTAATTTTATAATTAAATAATTTAAGTAAATTTTTAATGTGTTATAGCCAGATAACCAAGTAATTTTACTCAGTTTCAAATTACCAATCTAGGAACATTGGCATTTGTGGTCAAATATAAAGAGACAATCACATAAAAATAAATTTTTTTTAAAATTATTGATGATAAATATTTTGCAATATTCATAAACGCTATACATTTAGCCCAAAAAGTCTATTCATTTAAAATAATTTTTTTTTAAAGAAAACTATTAGTGATATGTTTTATATAAATTAAATTATTAAATATAATTTATTATTTCTATTTAAAAACAATTAAATTTTATTAAATTATCTGTATATATATTTTATTATAATATATATAATTAAAATATAAATTGTTTTTAAATGTAAATAAAAAATTATAGTTTTTTTTATATCTATTTAAATGACCAATTAGTCTGCTAATAATTAATTATATAATATTTTTGATCACAAATAAGAGAAGAAAAAAAATATTTTTTTTTATTATAACTCTTAATTTCATATAATTGGACATATATTAAAGTGAATTTAACCAGATTTTTTAATGTTTTAAACAATTTTGTTCAGATCAATTTTATTGTTAATAATTTTTTTTAATATTATTTTGTTTTATATATACACTATAGTATATTGTTTGAATTTTTATTTTATAAATATTTTATTATATTACTTGCATTGTTATTAATATTATTATGTATTACATAGGTATATGTAATATACATGTATTATATAGATAATATATTATATTGTATTAGAGTGTATTTTGTTATAATAGTTAACACGTTTTTAAATATTTTTATATATTAATTTTTAAATACTCATATTTTATATTCAATAGAATCGCTTTTTGTATTAAACATTATTATTATGTTGGTCTATCAATATTAAATCATTAAATCATCTTGAATATTATATATCCACCGTTCATGTGGAACTTAAGCATATATAAACTGTTTTTAGTATTGTTTATTTATCTTATTGCTAAATTGCACTTAAAATACTTCAAATACTGAAAATAGAGTTTTATTATATTTTTATTGGAATATTGTTATATGAAATATTGTTATGTTTTCAGAAAAATTTAAAATCCCTGCAACTAATTTGAGAAAAATTATTGTTTATATAAATGTTTTTGATTTGTTTTTTCATTATCACTATATATAAATGTTTTTTTTTTTAAATTTAGTTACACCCACATAAATTTTCTAAAAATTCACATAATCTTTTTTCGTATCTTTTGTTTTTTTTTTGTGTTTATATAAATCGTCATTATTTTTTATTCACAGAATTTAAGCATGGACTGTTTCGTTTGTATTAAATTTAATGAGCAGATACAAAAAACGCGCTCGACTACGACATTAAACTGCAGAATTAAGATATTTAGAATATAAACAACACTAAAATAAATATACACTAATTTTATCAGATATAACAATTGATATGACGTCATTAATTGAAACTGAAAATTAAGACAATAACTATTTAAATATATGTACAAATAACATATAACATATAAACATGTACACAAATTCATAGATATATAGTATATATGTATATCTCAAAAGCACAGGTTAAGGATTTCTATAATTTCCATTTTTCAAACAATTTGTAGACTTATATAAATCTTGTATAAATCTGGTATAAATCTGGCATAAATCTGGTATAAATCTGGTATAAATCTTGTATTTTTAAATAAATTGTATTTTTGTTCTTTAATTATTAAAATTAATAATTATTGTCAGTTAAATGAGATTTATGATTATCGTGTGTAATTTGTATATAGTGTATTGTATACGAGTTAATATTAATTAAATTGTAATTTATGCGTAAGTGTTGAAGTACCGTTTGTGCTGCTTAGGCCCCAATAATCTTCCATGTTGTTGTCTTCGTTATTGTTGTTGTTGTTATTATTATTGTTGGCTTTATTGTTATGGTGTTCGTTTGTGCTGCGTTGGTGGTGGCCACTCGTAAACTGCGGCAAGTAAAATAACTCAATCAAGATTTCTATCCGCGTTGCTTGTCTTAGATACTTTTTCTCTATTTTCTTCTTTTATTTTTTTTTTTTTGTTTTTTTTTCTTTTACTTTCTTAATAATATTATTATTGTGATTATTCTTTACTTTTTAAGACCTACAATAAAAATACTAATTTTCGTGTTTATTTATTGCTCAGCTTGCTTTCAGATCCACGACATATCTTTAATTTACTCGTTACTAGCACATAAGCACAGAAGTGTACACTCCGCTTTAATGGTACGACCGACCGCCGAAGCCGATATCGTTACCGTCGTTACTGTCACCTTAAACAAGCTTTCAATTTATATTTTCTTTGCTGTAGTAAGAACTTTCAAATAATTCCTTTCAAAAAAAAAATGTCTCATATAATTTTATATATTTTTTTTATTATTTTTACTTCGACTTTTTCTGTTCCGTGATCCGTTGATATTGTACCGGAGTATTTTCTTAGTAGACGCACCGTTTTGGACTAACCGTCACACATTTAGCAAAAATACTGAAGCTCAAATTGACAATGCTCGAGCTCGAGCCCGATTTGATGCTAAAATTTAGTCTACGGTGTTTCGAATGGACACATGGAAAAATGCTCTGCTGTCGGTGTTTGTGTGAATACAAAGCACTTACATTTATATAGTTTAGATTTTCATTTCATTGTATTTAAATTTAGTGTAGTGCAGCTCAATTCAGATGTCGGTTCATGTATGCCTAAATCGGTATGAATAGAAAAATTGCTACTGTTTGTTTGTTTATTGATAAAGGTTGGAGAACGGGTGAAAGAATGCAGGCAATTCATAGAAATCAAAAAAAAAAATGCATAGAGCAAAACACATTTACTCCAACAATAACAACAACAACATAAAATTGGGGAAAAATCTATTCTATTGTCATATGTTTGTATCTACTATATGTATGTACAGATAAAAACAGTATATGAAACAGAACTTTAAACCAATCAATAAAAACAAAATTAATCATTATGAACTTATCAACTTAAGCATCAGAATGGAGAATATAAAATTTTCTGTTTTATGCTGATCTTGACTTTTTTATTAATTAAAATTAAGTTAGAGTAAGTTAATTGAAGTAATAACTATATCACTTCACATATACGCAGATACACATATTCAATGCAAACAAGATACATATATTATTTTAGCATAATATATACAAACAAATGATAACAGTTTTTTGTAGCATAATTTCTTACTAAGACGCGATCATTTATGTCTTCAGTGACATTTGATTAATATTATTCGTCATTCTTCAGTATTTGACTTTTGTCACACTGAATTCATTATCTATCTGCCGCAATTACTGTACGTGTATCTGTATATCTGTAATCTGGCATTCGAAAAGTCTATCTATTTTTCATTTGCTGCTCTTAATAAAACGTATTAGAGATTTGTCATTTAGTCTATCTTCTAAAATATGTGTTTTATTGCGATAATATATTTCTCTTGTTTTAGGTTTTGTTTTTTTTTTGTTGGACTCTCGATTAGGTTCATGCATACAAACGGGGTTGGGTCAAACTATAAACACGAGCTTTACACTTTGTTATCAATAGCGTCCAGAATACGAAATTCGATTCTAATTTTCCGATCAACTTATTTGTTTATTCTGTATCGAATTTCAATGTTTATTATTAAGAAAAAAAATTTGTAGTACTTTTTTATATGAAAACGCGTGCGCTCACTTAACCATTAAATAAATCTAATTAATTTATTTATAATATACAGTGCAATTATATTACTCATATCCATAAAAAAAAACACCCTAATATATAAAGATTGTAATTTTAGATTGGAAGGCCTTTTAATGAGATGTATATTAACATACATCATATTATGTTGTTGAATATTTATTTTAATCCTACGACAGTATTTTAATATTTTAACTTATTTTAGAATGTATTTATAGCATAAGTAAAACAAATGTATAATTTATTTGATTGTGGTTATGAGCCTCTGAGAGCGAGTACACAAGGCAACTTGCCTGATTGCATTTACCTTGGAAAATGCCGGAGCAATTATTGTAGTCCTCAATCCAAGTTGTCACACAGTCACCACGTGCACACTAGACTGGCCATAAGTTGTATGGGAAAAAATTTTTTTTTGATTTTTATATGTTTCTGCTTGTTAAAATATTCCTTTTGATGATAAATTAAGGAAAATAAAATTTCAGATCGATCGCATTGTGCCAACCCGTGCCGAGTTGAGCTCAAAGTTGTAAAATTACCTCAATATAGAAAAAGTCATCAAAATTACTACTTTGCTCGTAAAATATATTACTAACAGTTAATATTTTTGACTAATTTACATTATTTATATGTTTTCACCTAATTATATTCTATTTTGTTTGTTTTACTGTTCTAGTTTTTAAAATTTTTCATGTTTTCGGCTTAGTAGTGACGATTTAGTATGTGATGGATACATGTGTCAATAATATTCAACAACTTGCAATAAACACTGTTTGTCTTTTTCGTCATATGTTAAGGCTCAGTTGAAGTCAGTGATTAACTTAACAGCTCTTTCTGCTGGATCGTTTACAACTGTCAGGTTTTTACAAATTTGCAGGCCAGAAGAATAATCAACTCTTTCACCCCATGATGACGGATCGTACTTTAAAAAATCGGAGCTAATTTCCAATCGAAGAAAAAATCGTTTCGTCTTACAAGTAACAAAATAGCTGAGATCCATATCTTCGAGCTTCATTATGTCTTCGATTGTCGTTTCGAATTTTTTTGAACATGGAATATCGTCATCTTTAGTTTTTTTCCAAAGCCTTAATCATCTTTCCTTTAGTATTCAGTGGAACTTCAGAGTCGAAAAGTGCTGAGCTTCTTCTGACAAATACCACAAGTGATTTTTGAATTTTTCTAATAAAACCGCTGAAATTCGTTTATCAAAATACTGGATTGCATCTTTAATTAGTTGTAAATCCCTACGTGGTGCTTCAATTGCGTGCTGGCATGTTTACCAATACTGTATGTAATAGCGAGTTAGAAAAATACAAATATTGCGTATGACGTTTAATTCTTTTGCCGTCAGCAAAATGCTTAAAAATTGAAATTTCTGGAGCCGATGAGATACCAAAATTCAGTTCAAAAACAGCTTTTAGAAATATTTCGCTGATATGACGGCAGCATGAGGAAAAAGTAATTCACGCCCCAATTTCTGCTCGAGCAAAAAGGCGGCACCCTTGTGAATACCAGTATTAGAACTTGTTGTATCAAAGCAAATAAATTCAACTAAGTTGTCTAATTCCCAAGTAATTAAAAATTGATCAATTGCATGTGCGATTTTGTTACCAGTGCTGTTATCTAGTTTCGAAATACCAAGTATATTTTCGGTTTTTTCTCCTGTGACGACAAGAGCAAGTCGATCAACCTTTTCTTTACCCTTCATTTCTGGTAGAAGTTTTCCATCCCAATGGAATACAAAAACTTAAGGGATCTGCAATTAAATATCTTAAATAAAACTTTAAAAGAAAAAACTTTAATTAATTTACATCGAAATTCTTCAAAATATCATGCGATTTTCTGCATCGGTATTCTTTTCTCATCAGGTGGACAGTTGTACGATTCAGAACATGATCTTCTACGCGATGACCTAAAGCAGCTGCTGTTGCACTTATGAAATGAATCGCATCTCTAGTAGAAGTTTTAGATTTATCCATTCAAGCAAGCATTCTATCATCAATGAAATGTATTTTTCCTCGTAAATGACTATTTGGTATTCCAATTATAATATCTTCTTCTATTGCTACTTCCGAGGACAATGGATATTCCATAAAATCTTCACTATTATCGCTATGCTCAATATCGAGTCTAGAATCTGTCGCTGCTATTCGAAAAATATACTTTCATGTATGATTATTGAAAACAAATAAAGAAACGTCAATCATTGATTCTTATATGTTATTACCTGGAACGCTTGTACATAAATCTTCCATATATTGCTGTTTACGTTTATCAAGTTTCCCTAATAGTTCTAACTTGCGCTTTTCTTTTTGTGATAATTTTTTATCAATGCCTGCTATGCTTCCTGGTCGGCCTTTCTTTCTTTGTTGAATCAAGAAATCTTTATCTTCTTGGATATTCATTGTTTTAACAGCAGTAGGTACTGCGATATCGAATATAAAATGTTCTATCTTTTCACGGAACTCTTTTTCTCTGATTCGGCATTTTTCGTGTGGAGATTTGCTACTTTTTTCCACTCATCGTACAATTTTTGTAATTTTTTTTGGCAATTAGATTCAGTTAGAGTAGGAATACGAGCCTTTTGCCAGAATGGTAATACGGAATCAATCACATTTCTAAAACTTCGTTTCAAGGTTTTGTGTTCAACACGAATTTTATAGAAAAGCAGTTGAAGTAACATACTTGCTTCATTGACGGCAAGTTTGCTCCAAAGACTTCACTTTCACATTTTCCTATTAAAAATACCATATATTATCATCATCGGATCTAAGCCGCTTTAGAGATGATTTCGATTGCAAAGATGAAACGGAATCCATATCAATTCAGATTAATTTTCGCAACGTAAATGATCAATTATCGTTAAACTTTTTTCTCGTTGTCAATTTGAGAGTCAATAAACAACTATAACAGCAATGTTACTACTCAGTTTTTGTTACTTCGTATCAAAAATTATGTAGGGAATATAAACAGACGTAAGTGAATTCAATATCATAACGTAAAAACATTTAAATAATGTAAATTAGTCAAAAATGTTCCTGAAATAAAACTGTTAGTAATATATTTTACGAGCAAAGTAGTAATTTTGATGACTTTTTCTATATTGAGGTAATTTTACAACTTTGAGCTCAACTCGGCACGGGTTGGCACAATGCGATCGATCTGAAATTTTATTTTCCTTAATTTATCATCAAAAGGAATATTTTAACAAGCAGAAACATATGAAAATCAAAAAAAAATTTTTTACGGCCACTCTAGTGCACACCTAGGTCGTTACCTGGCACCCGCTGGGTAATGAACTTATAGTGCATACAGCAAGTTATATTCCTAAAGCTTTATGTTTCTCACCTATCACGTGAA